AGTTGTGTGATTCCTGATATGTCATGCTACTATGTAGACAATTTTGGAACATCACTTGAACAAACATTTGCTACACAATTTCAACACAGCCACTGATCAATGAGCTTGATCAATTCTTTTTGAGGCACATCATCCTCGCTTTGGCAAATTCAGTTCATCAGGGCCGCACCTTTTGCTAAAGCTGCTAAAGTAGTCTACGTGTATAAGAAGGTGTGCTAGGATGTTCTGCAGTGTTCCCATTGGACGTTCCCAGCATCAGTCGGACATTCCTTGGGGTGACCAAAATCGACCCTCGGATGATCCCCACAGGCACCTCAAGGTTCAGCACTGCAGCTGATAGACCTGCATTTAAGTGGGGAATGAATCCCCCACAGCTGGAACATTGGCTTTTAAGATTGTGTATGTTTGTGTCAGACTTTAACATGTTGCAAAATAAGCAAAAATCATGTGTTGCAAGCTGGCGATGAGTTTAGAAATAAGAATTTCTTAGATCATCTAGCCGCTCTGGCCTCCAGTGGATGTTCTAGTGTTAAAACTAGCTCTTTATCAATCACCTGATCCAATCTTTCACGAAGCCATGAGCAATTCTCTTAGGACTGTGCATGAATCATTGGAAACCCTGTATTCAATGCCTCTATTGCCAAAAAAAACACCAAAAGCGATTGAATGGGTCCGAGAAACGGCTGTAGCTGTGAGCTCGCTTCATGATGGCTTCGTCCTGCGCAGCTGGGACCTGATTGGTCAATGGGGGAGTTCAGCATCAGAGACATGGAGAGACTGAGAGGACCTACAGGCGGAGACTCTCATCTCCCTCTGGTATCTCTACTCCTGTAGAGGGGGAGGGCGGGGGGACAAAACCAACCTGTCGAATTCCACTTTTTTTGCTTGGAGACCTTGGGATAGTGATCCAACCCCTCAAACGGAATTTCAAAGTAACATGTCTTAACAAGCCTTGGGTACTGGTTAGAAAATACTTGGAGCTAAGCGCAAATATGAGGAGCTAAGCGCAAGTATGATGACGGCAGCGCAATTTTTGGAGGGATGCCACCCCTACACATGTGCTGCTTCAGTCTGACATGTGCTTAGCTCCTCCCTCCGGAGCTAAGCGCAAGTATTTAATTTTCATCTGGCTGCCAGTCACATGGAATAACGAGGAATATATATTGATCATTGAGAAAACATGATTGCGAAAATGGAATTTTAAAATGAAATTTCAATACGACTGTCCCCCCTCAAATTACATTTTAAGAGGGTATAGGGATCCTCTGGTCCTTCTTCAACACCGCCTCCAAATCATCAAAGCCTTTTCTCATGGCCCTCAGCGGCAAGAGTTCTGCGTTGAAGGCATCTGAGCGCTTCAAACTCAGAGATTGCTGAAGAATGCTGATGACATTGTCACATCCAAAACCTTAAAGTCTTGGAATCTGAGCTTCCCAGCACAACTTCCTCAACTCGATCGGCCTGAGCCTCCCAAGCAAGGGTATGCATGAAGTGTTGCTGTCTCCCACAGGTTTCAGTGGGACAGTGGGACCAGTAGAAAACATCCTGCAAAGTCGCAGAACCTCCAGCAGGAACAAAATAATGTACTCATAACATCTCAGAACTTTTAACTCATAATACTTCTCTGGCAAGTCCTTCTCGAACTTTCATCATGTTGCTTCAAGCTTCCCATGGCCAGTGCTGTGCAATTTCCACCAATTTCCGCTAGCCTGGCCTCAAGTTTGGCCTCCTCTGCTTGTTGCATCAACTGCTCGCGCTCCAACTGTGCCAGAAACAGCGACTTCTTGTACACATAACATAAATTATAAATTGTTATAAAACGTGAGTTGAACTGGATCTGAGAAGGCCTTTGTCGGAAATCTGGTGGCAGTATCGTGATTTTTTGGGACGCTGCAGCGAAGGGATCTATGCAATCTGTGGAATCTTCATGAATCTTCTAGGTATGCCTTTCAAAATCATTAGATCCTGCCAAAGATTAGTCTGGATCAATCAGTATCCAACTTTGAACTCTAACTTCAAACTTGCAAATGCTGTCAACACAAGAAAAGGATAGAAAAGGTGGGGATCAATCAAATTAGATCATTGATTATCATTGAGTATGTGAGAAACCTCCTACATTTATGTTGGCAAAGATGCAACGAGATGCAACTCATCCACCGCGACTTCCACAGCACCTCCCATTGTTCTTGAGCTTCTTGTTCAGCTTGTGCTACTGCCTCAGGGTCAAAGTCTTGGCATGTGGCTGAATCATTCCAGGGGAGGTCATAGAGATCACTGTCTTGGAGCCAGCAACCGCCCTTTGTATCTTGGCTCACAAAATGGCAGCAAAAAAAAAGAGAGCTAAGTTCAAACAGTCTTAACCCATACATATATATATATATAATACTAATATTATATAATAGTTCGGAACACTTTTGTGATTCTTGCAAGCATTGTGTGAGGTCACTGCGGGATGTACCAAAGCAGGATCGAGTTTGGAATTCTTATAGCAACCAGTACAATACAGTCTGCAAAGCAAACGGGTTGATTCCAAAACCGCACACTGCAAACAGCATGACAAAATATGACAAAGTGCTAAACGTATTGACAAAAAAGACTTTTGGAACCAAATGTCCAGCAATATTTTTGCCAACATCTTTCAGGGATTTTCAGGGGAGGTATAGCAAGACATTGCAATTTCTCAGGGAATCTGGTGGCGATTCTGAACCCTGGGTGCAGTTGAGAGCTGCGGCTTTTCGTTGGTTTTTGGGATCTGCGAGTTGGCGACGCTCAGACCAACGGTGGAGGTCCAAAAAGTTCACCGTTGAGGGCAAACATGTTCTCTATTTGGGAAAAATGATACAGTACTAAATAATCATGATCGGAAATAACATGAAGAGACCGTAAGAACTGGTTTATCATGTTTCATCTTGTATGTTGATATGTTTTGAGCATGCTGTTAAGGGATGTTAAGGGCAACAAGGATGTCAAGCATCATGTTCATTTCTAAACTAAAATCACTTTTTGTGTGCCCAGCAGTCCACAGCTCTGGTTGAACTTCCGGTACTGATCCATTTGGCGAAAGGAACTTCTCAAACCTCCCTCCATGATCTCTGCCATTCTACTGGGACCTAATGGAGCCAGATGCACGTGCATGTAACATCATGTAACGTAGGCAAATGATTGGTATTGGTCTCTGACTCTTAATGTAGCTTGTCTCTTGCAAGCCCTGCTCAGTCACAGGGGCACGACAAGTGCTGCTTGCAAGTGTGGCTGCCGAATCAAACTAATAAATACTAATAATTACAATAATAATATATACTGCATATTCGCTCAATTCAATATCTGTCACTGGGTTGGTCATGATTCTATTCTTGGTGAATCAGAACTGGATTCAAGCCATCTCAAGTGAATTCAATCACAGCATTGCAAATACTGGAATCCATTCATGCTCACTGTGCAAATGGCGGCCAGCAACAGGCCAGTTTGGTTGGAACTGTCCAAGGATGCCATTCAAATGAGATATTGTGAAGATGGGCGGAACATTGAGGAAACAAACTTGTGACATGCACGAGTATGCTGCAAAAGAATGCGCATTCAGTAATTGTACGTTTGCAAGTCGGATGTATTACTCGCTTTGAAATTTGACCACTACGTTGAACATGATCAGATCATTCAAAAGATCTGGCCACACAAAGATCAATGAAACCTCAGCATCATCATTACCATGACAACCCAAGCCCAAACAATAATTATTGCAACCATTACCACCACTCTTATATACAGTAACATACAGTAACGTGTTTTCATCATCAGTAGCATCAGAGCAGCTGGTCAGCGTCATCACCATCTGATCTCAATGGTCACAAAATTCACAAAGACATTAACCAATGGATACCAATGGTATCATCGCCATCACATGCAGTGACAGCAACAATGATCACAATATATCATAATGGTATAATTTATTATTTATAAGTTTATAAAGAAATTAATAACAGGCGGCATTTTCATGTTGATAGGTGATTGATAACCAGCAGAAACCCCATACAATTGCCGTCGACGATTCTGATCTTGGGTACAAAGTCGAGCGTTTGAAATGCATCCCTGGACTAGATTCACTTCTACAATTTGGCCTCTACTCCAATTTTCAGGTCATGCCATAAAAGCAGCCTGTCTTGAAGCTTCAAAAGGCAACAAACTATCTGAAGAGAAATGATATTTCTGAAGCTCGTGGGATTCACAGACGACACCGAGTGTGTCTGAGGTCAAAACCAACGAGCTCCACTTACTCACGAAAAAAACGCGTCGGTCTGGCTAACGCACGTGTGCAGACTGGCCAGCCGCGGTTTGCTGGGCACCGGGGGATTGTCTAACAATCAAATCCATAGTCTTGTTGAATCCCAACTAGTCAAAGTAGCACAAGGCTGTACAAAGATCATGAATATTGGTTAACAAATGTTCACACATGTTCACACAGCTTCAACTTTGGTTTGCAGTCTCATCACGGCAATCAGTGAGATGACACCTCGAGTAGCCAAGTCCAACGCGTATGTACCATTACGTATCCACGATTGCAATGTTTGGCCAACAGATAATTGCAGTAACTTTGCACAACTCCTGTCATACGAACTCTCTGCATACTGTATCTGTTTGAGAGAAAAACAGGATCCACACATCTTGAAAGGGGTTGACTTGGATGACATGATCACTGCAATGATCTGTAATGTGTGACTATCACTTTGAGGCATATCAAGCAGGACAACAAAAAAATGTTCCTGTTGTTTGTTAATGATAAAGTACATTAAAGTACTATAATGTCAATATTGAATGAAATTGTATCCAGTTTGCATTGCTCATACCGCAGTATGATGCATATCTGCGTACTTCGTTCAAACTTTCTGCCGAATCACAGATAAAGTGCCACTTGTACCATGAACACAAGGACTTTCCTTGTGTTTGGCCAACAATCCCGGCCCAGAATCGATTCCGTGGCTCGACCATCACAAGCTGCTCGGCTCTCATGGGTCCGAGTTTTGGGAGCCGTCACCCATGAGCCTCGGCTCGGATCGGCTCGGGACGAGTCCGATGTGTCTCTCTGCGTCCAAGGCACCTCATGAGCACGTCCAGCTTGACGCTCAAGTTTCCTTAGGTGTCTAGTGACATGGCTGGAGCAACTGTCAGGACCTATCCGGTTCCGACAGATGTTACTCCCAAAGCTTGCAACTGGATGTAACCAACACTTATCAACTCTTGTCACGTACTGTCCTTTTTACTATTGAACTCGTGTCGATCCAAGATATCCATATTGTCCATTTTGTCCTCTTCAAAGCAATCACCTCCAGGAGGTCAGTTTGGACCACTTCTCGTGATTTCCCTGTTGTTCAATCGCACTGTAGCCGTTTGTCAATCAACCAACCGGTTGAAAAAAAACATCTATATGGGTATCCTTTGATAAAACATGTTGATCAAACTTCCATGTTTGCTCATGTTTGTTGGTTAAACATGGTTAAACAACAAGTTTTGCTCATTTTTGTTGCTTACTATCCGGGATATCTCCCCCATGTTCGAGGCAAAGTTTCTCTCCAGGTCTTCGAGTTTCTGCTTGGTTTCATCCAACTGATGGGAAACGTGCCTGAGTGTCCAGGTGCGCTATGGTGCACTTTCATCTGAAACGGGAAGAACAGAAAAATACCACCAAGAGAAGTATAAAACTATATAAAACTGATGATATCTGATGATTAAAATAGACAGTATAAAGCAATAGGACATGGATTGCATCCAAGGTGCTCCAGATCGCGGCGGGAGACCTCTTCAGTCCTGCCCACGGTGATACCGGGTGTATGGTGACAAGGGCCCGAAACATCCGAAGCCGCAACAATTGGCTGGAAAGATCTGGAAAGGATTGGCCTCTTTAAATTCTTTAATAATTACACTGCACAAGCTTCACGTAGTTTGAAAACAGTTTGCTAGCCTCTGAAAAAATGCCTCGTCGTAGTCCTGAGCTCAGCTAGGGCATGACTATGTGCAAAGATGCAGTTAGAGCATCATATTGTCTGAAGGAAACTGCTCCGGGTGTTGGATCAAACGGAAAGAAGACAACTGTGATACAAGACTCAGGACAGCACAGGACAAGGCTAACTTGGGCATTCGGCCACAGTATCAAGTGGAAAAGGGTCGTCTGGTTCGTTGGTACTGAAATGAGGTTTTTCAGTTTGATCCTGCGTCAAGCCAAGAAGCCGATCGATGGCAAATCCACCTTGACATTCGGGATATCTCAAGATCAAACCACGGGCTGTTTGGTGCAACATGACTGAAAGGCAGCTCTCATGTGCTTGGGCTTTGCTGCATTGCTTGGACACAGTTCAACTGCTTCAGAAAACCCGCGTCAACTCTGCCAAGGGTCAAAAAGCTCGCATTTTTGATTTGAAGCTGGCTTTCACTCGCCTCGAAGGACCTCAAAACACTACTACTGTATCGCGATCAATGGAACAGGATCAAACCTCTATCCATTACTGCATTGCATGTAATGTAAATTGCAGTGCTCCAATCATGCAATTCAAGGCCATCATGAGAAGATGGTTTCCCTTTTTACGAAGGGATCCCAAGATTCCCCAAACCTGTTGTTTTCCAGAAGAACTGCAGAAGCTCAACTCAATCCTGCTGTTCCTGAGACACAACATGGTGATTTGGCCAAGAAACCCATCTCGACTTTTCACCTTGGTGCCATGACCCCATGACCGAGCATCAACGTTTGATGTCTTTGGAGAGGACAGTTTTGTGGTTCCAAAAGGGCATTTTGGTGGCAAAAGGACTCCAGGCTGTCCAGACTTTGCAGCCCTCCGAGGTTCAAATTTCTTCAATGATTTCAATGGTTAACATGCCAAACGCCAAGTCACCGTCCATTTGCCACCTTCAGCAGGTCCTTCGACGATACCCTCCAAGTCACCGTTGGTCTGACAAGAGCAGCTGCATTCGAATAGACTTTGCTGTCGAAAAGGGTATGGTTTGGTATCATCAGTGATTAGGCTATGGGTTTCCGCATCTGAGCAGAACTTATATCAATACCTGATATATAACGTGAATATGAGATAATCCCGACTTTCAATCTATTAATCTATCTTTCCATTTATGCGTCCATCCAAACAAATGGATCCGTCAATCCATCCACCCATCCATCCATCCATATTGAATATGTAGCGCATATAATTATGTTATTAATTAATTATGCAATTATGTACTGCACTATATTATATTGCATAGATCTAAATGTACTAAACACTGTTACATGTATATTACGCCATCATGAATTCATTTAAACATGTCGTTGATTATATGTGCCACCGCTAGGTGATTGGAAAGGGCAAGCTCCATGCTTCGCATGCTTCGCCTGCGCCACAGCAATGCCGGGCGCCAACTCGGGCGCATCGGGTTGAAACCAATCGGCTTGGATCAACATGGCCTGTGCGCCGATATGCGCCGATTGTTGGAGCTGGGTGGTCTCACCACTATTCTCAAAAT